ACAGTTTGTACCCATTCCTCCTTGTCCTGTCACTACAGTTCCTGGCAAAGCATTCCTTTTCAGCTTCCCTGCAGATGCCCCCTTCAGATACTGGAARGTCGTTATGAGGTCTCCACGCAATCTTCTCCAGGCTGAATAGCCCCAACTTTCTCAGTCTCTCTTCACAGGGAAAGTGCTCCARTCCTCGTATCAACTTGACAGCCCTCCTCTGGATTTGCTTCAACAGTTCCACAYCCTTCTTATCACCATGGCTTTTCAGAGAAGACTTCCCAACAGGGCTCCCTGTAACTACCAGCCTATTCAAACTGGTTCACAACTGGAAGGCCCTTATAAACAATGCATGATTGATAAAAGAGAAAATAGCAAACTTAAAATTGACTGGCCATACTTCAGGTAGGTGCTAATAAAACACACTTGGAAAAGGTTCCTGAAAGAGGAAAGGTATGGAGGAAACTATCATACAGCATAAAACTAAATATATTTAGGCCCTAGTTTTAATTTGAAGTACAACTGTTTTTTTCATAAACATTTCAAAGTTCAATTATTCTATGATTTTTCTTTTTGGAAAATGAATGTGAGCTGCAAGGGACCTCTAAAGATCAGCTAGTCCAACTTCCTACTCAAAACAGGGACAGCTTCAAAGTTAGATCAAGTTCCTGATGGCTTTGCCTGACCAAGTTTTGAGTATCTTCAAGRGCCAAATGACGTATTGCAGCAGGGCAGCCACTGTCGCTGTATATTATTTTTGCCTTATATCCCATTAAAACATCATTGTTACAATTCACARCTGTGGCTGTTGTCCCTTCACTCCACAGCTCAGGGACAAATCTGGCTCTGCCTTCACTGTAGGTAGCAAGAGATGACTGAGGTCTACCTGTATCCTTCTCTCAATWCCAGAAATCAAGCTGCCTCAGCTTYTCCTCACRCATTATTTGCTCCAGAGCTGTCACCTTTTCTAACGGCGAACTGATGGACTCATTCCAATTTGGGAGCATCTCTCTTGTACCAGAAGWGACTTGGAAGGAGAGGAAGGGCTACAAGGCAGTAGAGAGACTCAGATGCAGACTCATGAGCACCAAGTATCTTGTCCTTTGACCGGCTGGCTATGCTCCTGCCTGGAGCCCAGTACAGGCTTAGCCTTCACAATGCACTGCTGACATGTGCTGAATTTCCTGTTTGCCAGGACCTTTCATATCCTTTTCTGATCAGAAAAAAATGTACATATCCTCTTCTTCTACCTCTGTTTTCAAGAGGTACCACTGTCRGCCCAATTATCTTAACAAATTCATTCCCATATCACCCTTTTGTTGGCCTGTCACTTGTGCTACAACACAGATTCATTTCAACAACAYGTTTCTGCCCCATAAACTCCATGTCTCTCTGAATGCCCTGACACGAGCAGGCTAACAGTGATACTTACCAGCCACACCTACAACCTATTTTAAATGAAGAGCTAACCCCTCAAAGGTATAGTTTCAAGCTTTGCAAATTTATGCAGAAACAACCACTTCAACACYGTGTATCTTGTATTCTGCAGCATTTCTGCACACCAGAAGCAGCCAAGTAGCTGAGACCAAAGAGCAAGAGAAAGTCCAGCCCTGCAGCTCCATTCACTACAGCTGACCTCCTCTAACTAATATTTCCATTACACTTTTTGCAACACTATAAAATACTGATTTTAAATTTAAACTATGCGCTTTATTGAAAGGACTGAGTTTCTAAGCTTGTTTAAAAGGAGATGTTGTTTAAGTATCCTTTGAGCCTCTCATCTTCTGTGGGCGAAGAGCACTGAAAGATGGATTCCCTTAACAGTGCAAATGCTTTCTTTCAAACAGTCCAGTGTCACTGACTCTTCCTACCCATTTCTGATCTGCAATGCCAGGAACAAGCAGACACAAGAAAAATACCAATGTCCTTCTCTTTGGCTACACCTTGCAGCTAAACTGTGGAAAGAAGCAGTTAATCCTCTCCCAACGGTCATAAACGGAGGGTGAGTCACACATCAAGCATGCAACTACTGCCAAAAAACACTGATGCCAAAATATCGGATTGAGGTGAGCAAAGAAAAACGGCATGTGAAAAGAGCAGAAAAATTCAACAAGTGGGCTTAAACGCAAAGGCAACTACAAATCCACGTCTGAACATAAAGTGTGACAACTGAAGCCAAGTTTTCCGCTAACTACATCAAAGCAACTACTGCCTGAGGTTTTATTTGCCAATTAAGATTTACCATCAACCCCAGTTTAGTCTCAAATCTGATAGGTTTCCTTTTCAAAAGCTAGAAGTAAAGCATCCTGTGACTTTYAAGTTATCCAATACAAAGACATAAATGGAGACAAGACAGAAAATGCTATCTTTATTTACAGGAAACCCACATTTCTGGAGGTGACTGGAGAAATGGACCTGTTTTGAAATTCTGAAGAACTTGATTCCCAGAATTGGCAGAATGTCATTAGTAACAGACATCATGCATTTTTAAGGAAAARCTACTTGTATTATACAAAATCCATTTTACAGGGTGTCGAGGAATCTGTGAGTAAATGGGCATTTTTCAACCAGAAAGGAATTCATATGAACTACCTAACAATAATTTTTTAACCTTTGAAAACTGAAAAGTTATCTGTTCAAAGCAATAACTAGRAAACAAAAACATACCGTCCTCTAGTAATGGCACCATCTTTTCCTTTCCCATTTTACAGCACCTTAATCCATATCCAGGTTTATAGCTCATATGTTCGAATGAATCCAGGGTACCTGAGCATGTAACTCTGGCTAAGGAAATGGTGTGGCACTGTGCAGTGACAGCTATCAGATGCATCAGGAATCTTGCAGGCAACATGGCAGTCCCCACCCAGGGCTAAAGTTCTTACAGCAGCAGATAAAGCCAAGACACAGTGTCACACACCTCACAAAATGGGATGAAATAGAACAGGTTCTTATTCATTAAAATGTGGTCCTTCAGAAAGGACAMTTGTCTGTTATTTTATGAGTACAGTAAAAGATAATTCACTGTACAGCAAGCCTAGGATATATACAGAAAAATRAAATCCAGCTATGTGAGCATTGATAACTTCATGATCACTAATGACAATGACACAAAGAAAAAACAATATGAAAGCTAGCTTTCCTTTGTAGCTGTGAAGATACAAACTTCAGAGTTTAAGACCTGTGAACTGTATTGCCAGATGGCAAAGCATCACCAAGTGCAAAAATGCCACCGTTTAACTTTTAGAACTAGGCTTTTAAAACTTAAGTTACAAATTAACAGCTCWGATGTATAGTATTACAAATTGTGCAAAGGAAATTGCTCCTATGCCTCTCAGATGTGGGAAGAGTAATTGGAAGCAGGCATGTCTCTGAAACCATGATGTTGAACCTTCACATCCATCCCTCTAGCAGAAGGACCATTATGAACACTCAGTGTACCTCAGGTGGGCTTACAGGATTCAGTGCACTCTRACACCTGTAGCTGAACGCAGCAGAACGAGTGCAATAGCACACAGTACACAGCCGTGACAACCAAACAACAGAAATTAAAAATGCGATAAAACCATTCCCTGTGGATGAGAATGTAATAGAATCCAGGAAAACAATCACTGGCCTCACACTAGTGATAACATAAATACATCCACTTCTTTACAATCCTAAGGAAAGCACTGATCACCTGTTTGACAGATGACAATTTCTTCAAGTGTAAAACCCAAACCTGCATAATATAYGCATAATTCTGCAAATACCCGATGTTAGTCACATGCATCAAGATTTAAATTATTAATCCTGCACATTCTTAACAAAGCAATGGTATGTATTCAAATCTCTAGAATGTGATTTATCATATCGTTTGAACAATCCAGTTCTACATTGCATCCTATATTTCTTCATAAAATAATAGCAGAACTTAAGCTGTTTCATASAGAACTTGAATACATTTCTTATTCAAAGATTTTCACATACAAAATCTTCAAACACATCCTGATTTGGTTACAGAGAGAAAAATGGCATTAAGATCAATGATAGATGAGCTAATTYGATCCACAACAATGATGACTGAGCAGCTTTTTTATATGTTAAAATATTCCATATAATGGAAATTATTCCATATCCATYTAAAAAATGAAAAAGTGAATTATTTTTCCAGTACATGTAAACTACAGTGCTTGTTAAGTGGTAGCTTTAATTATGGTAACWTTTTTTTAAGGCAGATCTTAATCGAGAACAATTTAGATAGATAATACTCAGCTATGGAATTCTAAACACAGATACAAGCAAAATTACAGCTACAAGGACAAGGTAAACTAGTTTGTCACTTACAGGCTAATCTTTGTCGTGACTGTTCTGGAAGTATCCAAAATCTTCAGCTTCGAGGTGTCTAAATCAGAATTTGTCTGTCTCTCAGCTGACAGACACAGGTCTCCATTTTTAATCCCATCAGTATGCAAGAAAGCTCTTCCATCTGGACCATTACCATGCTTTACTGCCTTAGTATCATTTCTGCCTTCAGCAAACACCAAGGCATTGTCTTCTGTCTTAGCAGCCGAAGAAGTTTTGGGAGACTCCAAGCTGTCTTCCCCAAAAGCCACAGGTATAGCTCCCTTTTCCACCGAAGTTCTTTTTGTTACTGGGTTAGTCTCTGGAGATGCTAAAGGTTGCCTTTTTGAAGAGTAATCTTTCACCTGACCCTTCAAACCAGTAGGGGAAATGGGTACAGAATCTGACTGATTCTTTTTATATGACCTTCTCCTTGCAGGGGTTGTGTTTGAGATCTGCTGCTTGCCCTTGTCAGCTTCAGCTTTAGATGCCCCTTTGTGAGCAGATCCAATTTTTAGGTCCTGATTACTGCCAGAGGAAGAGGAATTCCTTTCAGGAGTCTGTTGAAGAGACCTCATTTTTCGTTCAGAGTTTATTGTCTTGTCTGAGAACACCTCAGAATGGGCATCATCCTCAAAAACAGATTCTTCTCTCGCAGTATTCTCAGTCTGGTTTCTCTCTCCATTCAGAATGTCACTAGACAACTGAGACTTTCTCCGTTTTCCAGATCTTTTACTAGCAGATTTTTTATCCATTGTGTCCAAATCTTCTTCTGATTTAAAAGTCACAGGTTCATCAAGGAGCTCSTCTGTTTTTCTCAGATAGATATCAACTGTTAACACTCTAGCAGAAGAATGTGTGTGTTCACTCACTGCAGATTCCAACTCGCATGGCAAATCCTTTGGTTTTGCATGCCCAGGCTCCTCAGACRCCCACGCGTTTACAAGCTGTTTGTGGCTCAGGATACTCTTTTCTAAGTCTTCGTTAGACAAATTTCTCAAGCTCTGTATGAAATCTGGAGTTGTGGAATTATTTATATCTGTGACGGATTCTTTCTCCAGTCCCAGCGTTTCCACATTCAGGCTACTCTCACAGAAAGAGTTTTTAATGGTTTCACTGCTGCCGCTCCAATCTGCTGACCACTCACTGTCAGAAGAGACTCCCCTGCTACTCCATTCTGAAACTGTGTCKTGATACAGCGGTCTTACTTCCCCACTGAAATTACATTCCTCTGCCTCAGAAAGGGCACTTGCGTTTCTCACTTGCTTCTGTACTTGAGGAGCTTCGTGTCCTTCTTTGAAGTGCTTGGAGTATGTTGCCTGCGCCCCGTGAGGAGAACCTGACCTCTCACCCTTATGATGAGAAGTGTGGTCTAGTGAACTTTTGACATTTTTCCTCCTGCCTGTACCAAACAAATTTCCAAGTATTTCCAAAACAGGTTTCTTTTTATTTTCTTCTCTGGAAGAATCCGGAATGTGTGAGGTGGACTACAAAAACAAACAAACAAACAAACATACATTCGGTTAACGGCAAAATTGTTTCTGTAATACATTTGTTTGTTTCAGCACCACCTATAAATTAAAAGGTCACAATTAATGGAAACAAAACAATTTACTGAACAATACTAGCTCTTACAAAAACAGAACGAGAAAAACAAAACTCTTGCAAAACAACTAGGATTCCAAGATGGTTCTGTACTTCAAACTTTTGCACAATTAGTTATTGTCACCCAAAATGTTACAGGAAAGCATCTTGGCGCCTGCAAGACTGGGGACAAACTTTCTGGTCAAAAGTTTCCTTATGAACACAAGAGTGGGGAGATGAGCTTCTCTCCACACTGGCTGAGTCAGTTTTCACACTTGAGCTGGTAGAGAATAGTTTCAAAGGTGTAAGTTGTCTTACAATTCATACATTTCTCGTTAATGAAATGCAGTAAACGTTTGGCTTGTGTTTTGGGCCAGAAAGCCCAGAATTATGAAAGCCACTGTATCATTCAATGAGCATTACTGGGTCAAATGCTGCCCTGGATTACTCTTGGTGAATTTCTGCCTTACAACTTCTAATTAACATGGTAAACAGGAAACACGCAACAGCATCGCCGAGTACACATGCATATTTGCATTTTAATACATTAGCCCTTTCTACATGCCGGTACGATGAATACTTGTTTTGAGACGTCTATTTCAAAACATCGCGAGTGTTTTCTCCTCGGGCGCAYCAGATCTATCGAGGAGCGCGGATTCCCTCGGCAGCACGGACCCTATTTCGGCAGTTTTTAACTTGTTTCTTGCTGCAGACGCCGAGACCGCCTGCCAGGGCCCAGAGCCCCGCCAGTGCCCGGCGTGCCCCCAGTGCCCAGGGCGGGCCGGCTGCCGCTGAAGCCCCCGCGCCCWCCGCGCAGCCCCGCGGCCGCCGATCCCTTCCCCGCAGGTACGGCTGCGGAGAACCGGGCCAGCACCATCTCACCGCAGGTGTCACGGTCCCCGACCCACGCGTTACCAGGAGGGTGAAGCCGCCCGAGGCTGCCGTTGTCCTCCCCCGTCCCAAAGCGGGATAAGCAGGAGGAAGGTGCCGTGGCGGAMTTTATCGGCCGCCGGTCGCGCCGCATCCTCACCTCACCTCCCCGCCGAGCGCCTCACACTCACCGCCCGGCTCAGCTGGGCTCGGCGGTCCCTGCGCGAAGCCGCCCCACGCACCCCGCCGCTACCCGCGCGGCTGCCCCGGCCCCGGCGCCGGCCGTCTGTGCGCTCCGCCTCGGCCCGCCCCCGCAGCCCGCCCCGAGCCACCGCCCCGCCGCGGGCAGCGGCTCTACCTGGCCGGGCCGCCCCTCCCGACCGCGGAGGGAGGGGCGGCGGCGGCGGCGCTGGACCGGCCCCCAGCCAGGGCCGCGGGGCAGCGGGAAGCGCGGGCGCCCCCGGCCACGGGTGAGGCCGAGGAGGGGGCGGCGGGCGCGAGTGGGCGCCGCGCCCCGTACGTGCCCCAGCASCCCGCGCTGCGGCTGCCGCCTTGCTATTGAGGGCAAAACGCCGCCCCGGGCAAAACCGACGCCCTTTGATGTTGAGGGAAAAGCACCGAGGGTTGGGGGAGGGCGGTTCGCGCCGCCGCCGCCCCGGCGAGCTGCAGTGCGGGCTCCCGGCGTGAGCCGGCGCCCGGGCCGGGAGAGGGACAGCGCTGTGAAGGGGCACCGGCTCGTTCCCGCCCGGTACGACGGCTGCGGGGCGGGGGAGCGTGTGGAGCGGCGGTGACCCGGCCGCCCCCCGACGCCGGCCGCTCGGAGGAGCAGGCGGGACTGCCCCCCAGCCCCGGGAAGGTGTGTGAGGGCCGGCACCGCCCGACCTCCACAGCCCCCGTGGAAGAACATCTGGGTTCAAAACCCTGCGGGGAAATGAACCCCCATCTTTCACCTCGCCGCGGCGGGCGCGGCTGGCTGCCGTCTGTGCCGCCTGACTGTGCCTGCCCCGCCTGCCCCGCCTGGCCGCCCCGGGCACACCGCCCCCGGGCCGGGGCTCCCCCGCCTGCCCCCGGCCCCGGCCGGGCCGCCGTGAGAATGACTCCGCGGCCGAATGGTGCCTGCGCTCTCCCCGGGCGCTCAATTAGTATTTAATGTTTAATGAATGTTCAACTAGTCCTCTTCTAATTAACGCTTAATTACTTATATGAAGTGGAACAGCTTCAACAGGAAGGACCACGTAAATCTCACTTCGGAGCGTCTGAGAGCCCAGCGCGGAGGCGGCGGAGACATCAGGTCAACCCGCCTGCCGCTGGCCAGGGTGCCCGGCCCGCGSTGTGTCTGGCCCTCCGGCTACTGAAGAAAATAAGGACCTTTTTTCATGGAGTCACTTCCTCTTCCAGCTGGAAAAGTGTTAACTTAGTTATTTGTTCTTAATCAACAGCCTACGTATAGTCCTGGCACAGGAGAGCGGCATAGAATCTACTAAACGCCAGTGAATGAGCAGCAGCAAGGCTTGCCCAAGCGCATGAAAAATAGTAAAAAACATGAAAACCACAAAAAGCCTAAATTGGGGAAGARGTAGAATTGACTTATCATACTGCAAGCAAACAGAAATCCATAGAACCCTTGTCTTTGCCTACCTCTCTTAACCAATGTCACTCATTCACCTGATAAGCAGCTGTACCACCAACCACATCCTGTGTCCTCACACAGTGATCTTCCACCAGTGGCCTTCAAATAGGCAAGTCCATGATCATGATCTTAAGCTTAAGTTTTTGTGTTGGGGTTTGAGTTTTATTAAAGGGTGAAATAATCTGCAAATGAGAAAGCTGTTGTCTTTTCCCCCTCCCTTTCATGGCTGTTTTCAACCAGTAGAACCAAAACAATTAAGTAAAGAGCAACATTAAGGGCTGCATTAAGTTCATACAGCTCAGACAGGTAAAGTGCTTTAGTGATAAAACCAACTATAAATTTCCCTATCAGATGCAACAATCATGAGTAATGCAGCCCAATTACTAATCTCTTATTCTATGTATGTATCACTGGCACTAACTAATTACAGGAAAAGGATGACAATAATAAACATTCCTAGCGAAAATAAGCAAAAAATTACAAATTTTTTACACTTAATGCAAGCTACTAAGGAATGATACTAAATTCTCTGAAAATTCATAATAACTACAAGTATGAGGAGTATGACTATATTTCTCATACTAAAAACTGTTGGAATACCAAAATGGGAAATGTAACTTTATTACGTTGTCAACCTGCATATTAATATTTGGATTGAAATAGCTGTCAGTCTTCTAAAGTAATTGGGACTACATTATCAACCTGACAGCCATTATTACATTTGCTGTCGAGTTTTGAGTTTGCAAGATTACACTCGGAAAAATTAGTTATTTGAACTGTGGATCTGGATTTTTCTCTTCCCAGCCACTGATTTTCATAAAGTCCATGGGAACTTAATTATCTTTGAGATGTCTCCCCCTTTCAAATGTAGTTTAAACTACAACCAACAAGTTCAAAAGGTGTTGAATGGAAGTGAGGAGGGACAGCAAGCCAGTCCAGTCATAAGCCTTGTTTCCTCGGGGAACAAGGCTAAAGATTTTTTTCTTGATCTTGAAATAACTGCCCTGTGTAAATTGTTTTGAAGTAATTTCTTCATACAAAGTACCTTAATTACATACAGCTCTTTCAAAACACATAAAAGGCTGGGTACTTGCCCTGAAGAGCTTGTATTTTAAGTCAGATAAATGTAGGTGAGCCAGTATTGCCAGTGCAGGAGGGCACTGAGACCAAGCTTCTCAAGGGACTCCAGAGTGGGACCCAGCCTGCCAGAGCACAGCAGGGGAATGCTTGACTTCCAGAGCACTGCATGGAAATGTTTGATTTCACAAGGCAAGAAATACCCTCGCTCTGAAGATCATGCTTCCTAAGTGTGTTTGTGCTCAAGTATTCTTACTCTTGAAACATTAGCTGCTTGAGAAATACATGACCAAAAGCATTGGCAACTGAAAAAACTAGAGGACCTGCCCATCCATTCCTTGGACAGCATGGAGGAAGCCATTTCAAGCACTCTGCATGAACCTTTAAAGCTGTGTTCTAATCTGAAAGCAAAATGCTTCTGCCTTCTTAACCAAGAAATGTAAATCTTGTTTGTATTTATATTCATACCTGTTTATGCTAGCATTAAAATATTTCCTCTGTTTTTGGCTGGGTTCTTTTTTCTCATTAGCTAATGTAAGTTGCCAGAGCCAAACCTCTAATTTAACAGTGTAATTAAACATGCTTTGCTGGTCTCCAGCAAAAAGAGAGCATAAGCTACTACGATTTGTTGCATCAAAACTTCAGGATGTGTCTTGAGGGATCAATTGGATATTATTTTCTTAGATGAGTTCATCTGAGTCAGCTGAACATAAATTAAAACACTTTTTAGAGCACACATTAGAGAAAAAAGCAGTATTTTTACTAGTCATTAGCAACTTTGTGGTAACTAATACATGGTAATATCTAGTGTGGACAGTTCTTTAATTTAAAAATTTATTTTCCAGTATATGTTCATCTTTAGAGGGGAAAAAAAACAAAACACCATTTACTGAAGATTAAGCTTGAGCTTTATCATTCATTAGAAGGTCATAAATGAGTGAATTTCAAGTAACATGAAAACCTCTGCGACCCTTCTATCTTCAACAATTCTAATAGTGTAGGACCCCTACAAATTCAGTAACTTCAAGTATCTGAAGTTAGAGATGGAAATAAAAAGGTATTGGAGTATTACATTAAATGATTGTAGAGCAAAAGGTATTGCAGTATTACATTAAATGATTGTATCTTTAAATTACAATATCATAATTCACCCAACCATGAGAAACAGAAAGCCTTGAAGTTCTAGCAGTCACATGACTTCCTGAAAACTGTTTTAGCAAAAAACATTTAAATAAATAAACTATTACTCTTCAGGCTTTGGCATTCTGCAGAGACTGAGACTCAAATATCCCACACTAACAGTGCCGGGCTTTGTGAGGCTGAAAA